TCTCTTTCCCTATCCTTCCATTTTGGAGCCGCTTTGACTTCATCAGCCATTTGGCTGGATTTTTTGTCAGCGGTTTGAAGAGCTTCTCTTGGATCAATCAGAGACTTGCGATGTCCCTGTGATCAGCAAGATGTATTCTTCCTGTTCACCATCTCTACGGGACGGTTTAGGTCCATTTGGACCACCCAGAGGCAAAAGTGTTGACTGTGATCTCAGAGCATTGAGGTCGCACGTTGTGTCGTCCTACCGTCCCAAAATCCATGTTTCTTAATTGATGTAACATGAATTGCCAGTTCACATTGTCAAATGCCTTTTGGGTGTCTAAAAACAACAGTGTTAATTGCTTTTTACTATGTGTTTCGTAGTATTCCAATGTATCTAATATTATTCTCATATTGTTTCTTAACTGCCTTTTGGGTAGGAAGCCATTTTGGTCAATATAAAAGTTCTGATGTCTTTTGACTTCAGTGACAAAAAGGTCTATATAAAATTTAAAAAAGGGAACAAGTAGCTTCTTGCAGCATTATTGCCAGCTTTATGGTGGGTGTATTTTTAAAAAAATTTAAAACATTTATATAGGATATATAGACAGGTATAGAGAATGGGTACAGCTCAGGGGCGGATAAGCTGTTTGTGCAGAAAGTTCCAGATTTAATCCTTGATACTGTGTTTCTCAGAAAATAAGACCGAATCTTATTGATACAACTGTGCTGGAGGCTGTGTCAGGGCCAGCAGGAGAGGCACCATTGGATGTAAGGCCTAAGGACCACTCGGTTGCATGGAAGCCTACAGCAGAACCAGGAGGCCGATGTGGGGCAGGCCCATGCAGGAATGACAGGGGATTGGTGTTTGGGCCCACCAGGTGTTCGAGACAACAAAGGCCTTCCACCCCATGCTGCGGACTGGGTGCCTGATTTGCATGGGGATCATGCTGTGGAACTTGGGGACATTGGTCGGTTCCTGGCGGCACTGCAAGAAAGCTTCGAAGATACCACCAGGACCCAGCAGGCAGACAGTCAAGGGAACAAGGTCATTTGGACAATAATAGACCTGTTCTCCAAACAGGCTCATTTTGTAGCATGTACCAGCCTTCCATCTGCTAGGAAGCTGGCCAAACTGTTTATTGC